CTCTCGCTCCTGTGGAAGACAAAGGCAAACCAGCATCGTCCTGTGGCACCGGTGATGTTGCTTGACTCGGTGGCCCGACGATGTGGCCGGTTGCAGAGTCAGGATCAATCAGAACAGACGCACACTGGAGGGGGTGTACTCATACATAGTCTGGAGGGGGGGGGGCGATACCACCAAATGCTGTTGCAACAGGGCTGGGGCTGTCGACGCTGACTGTGCCACCGCAGGCTCGACCGGTACTGTCGCCGACCTCGTGGCTGATGACGATGATGCTGACGTGGTCCTGGCAGCGGTTTCGGCACGAACATCGCGTCCCACAGGAGCCCCCGAAAAGCTCGAAGCGTGGTCTTGCATCTGTCGGACGCGTTGGTGGGGAAGAAGATGGGGCAGGTGGTGGCACGCTAGGAGTGTGGGGGGGCACAGGAGGTTGTACATTCGCGTCGGCAGCAGCATCCACTACTTGATTTGCTCGCAGGAGAGTGAGTACTTGTTCCAACAGCATTTCAGTACGGGAGGCCGAAGTCGAGGCGTGTGATGCAGCATGGCGTGGTGACTCAACAGGTTCGTCCAAAGGCAAGGAAGATGTGGGATGATCCATAACGGCATGGGCAGGGGCATGGCTTTTCACAGCGGCTGAACGTTCACGAAGTTGCATGTTGGCAAGTTTGAAAGCCAAAGAAGACCTGGTCGGTTGGCCTACATCAGCGGGAGGGCGTAGAGCAAGCGGTGAAGAACAGAGAGAACCGTCTTCTGAAGCATCCTCGCTTTCCCCCAACAACCCAGAGCCACGAAAATCACCTCGATCATGGATCACTTGCCTGTTACCGTGGCCTGACCTCCGTCGCCCTTTCCCACCGCGACTGCTGTCAGTGCTGGTCGCCCTGCTATTGCCCCCGCTCTGGTTCTGGCTCCGGCTACGGCTACGCCTAGACGGAGGCGTGTTTCTCCCATGACGGTCTCCGCTGCGGCTGCGCCCACGCCCAGACGAAGGATTGATGTGCTGTTGTCGCTCTGCGCTCCGACTCCTGCTCCGGCGATGGCGACTCGCCGGCGAAGACCTCGTAGGCTGGTTCCCCACGGTTCGCCCTCGCCTGTTATCTCCGACGCCGCGCCCTCGCGAAGACTGGGTGAAGCGGTGGTGGTCGTCCGTCCTGCTCTTGGCCGTCGAATCCCGGTCGCCCCAACGGTTCTTCCAGCTCTTGGACACCGGAGCCGCCGACCTACTGAAATCCTTGTTTTCTCCAGAACCATGTGCAGGGCGTGAAGAGGCCTGCCGGGGGGCTTGTAGATCGTGCTTGAAGTCGTTGGTCGAAGCAGCACGAGCAAGAGGCAGCTGGAGTCCTCCCTCCTGGGTCACCACCGACGTTCCTTGAGGACCTTCATGAAAGGTGGCACGACGGAGAGCGAACAACAGCTGGAACACGGACTGCCGCGAAGAAGGCGGAAGTTTCGCGAGGTACGGTGTGTGGTAGATGTGCCCGAAAGCAACGGTGTGCGGTGGGGGGAATTGTGCACGAACAAGTTGTTTGATGCCAGCCCATGCAAAAAGAGCTGCCAATTTGTCCTCGCCGTGGAACGTGACATCTTCTGCAGGCATCTCCAGCGGGCGGGACAGGAACGCTGTATCTTCCACGTGGAACTTGTACACCGTGGTTGCCGCCGCAAACGATGCCCCGTCTTCAGCACCAGCCGGAAGACCCAAAGTCACCGAAAACTCCGGAGTCGCTGTCCTCNTGCACGAACAAGTTGTTTGATGCCAGCCCATGCAAAAAGAGCTGCCAATTTGTCCTCGTCGTGGAAGGTGACACCTTCTGCAGGCACCTCCAGCGGGCGGGACAGGAACGCTGTATCTCCAACGTGGAACTCGTACACCGTGGTTGCCGCCGCAAACGATGC